ATGTATGTATGTATGTATGTATGTATGTAGTGTATGTAGTGTATGTAGTGTATGTAGTGTATGTAGTGTATGTATGTATGTATGTATGTATGTATGTATGTATGTATGTATGTATGTATGTATGTATGTATGTATGTATGTAATGTATGTAATGTATGTATGTTTGTATGTAATGTATGTATGTATGTATGTATGTATGTATGTATGTATGTATGTATGTATGTATGTATGTATGTATGTATGTATGTATGTGGTGCCATCACAGCTGTAAAGACACCAGTAAAATGAAAGACTTTCTGCATCATTTCTTACAAATTTGCTGTATCAATTACTGATGCAAACAAAATCTGAGAACCATAGTTACACTTTAGGTTTGCTCAATTGACATTGCTTTGAGGTTGGGACTGCCATGAGGTCTGTTTGGATTACCCTGGGCAGATTCTGGAGGTGGAACCTGCTATAAGCTGCAAGGTTGTCCTATCTGGTATTTGTTCACTTTGCATAACATGACATTAATCTAAATCTCTGTGCTGTGCTTGTTTTTTGATGCATCATAATCAGCTCTTCAAATTGTCGGCTGAGGTCCAAACTCTTTCAGCTGAGCAAGCACAGGTTCAGGCTGCTGGAAGAGAAAAATATATATTTTCAAAAAAATGATGCCAATATCATGTTTGAAAATATATCGAACCTGTTTCAGCCATGGAAACTTGTCATACCTTAACTACATACAAGATGACTACAGTGTGGAAGCTCCTGGATTCCAGGATAAAAACATAAAATTAAATGAGTCAAGTATGATAATTTTCCATGACTGAAACAGGTTCAGAAAGCTCGTCGATTTCAGGACCAACACTTGAAAATTAAATGAGTTATGTCATTTATATCATCAAAGTTTGGACATCAAAAGGTATGATGAAGTATGATGGGGGGAAAGTGTGAGGGTAGGAAGACAGAAGGGCCTATTCGCGCACAAGGCACCTGACAGTTTGCAACCTGAAAAAAAAAGGAGTTCCAGAATCCAGCACACTTGATCTTGAAATGGAATGGACTTGGAATGGATTCATTTTTTAAAAAATAAATAATTCAAATGTCTTTTTCCTAGCTTAGCCACCCCTGGACAGCTGAGGATCAGACTCCTGTGGGATGGGCAAGCACAGGGGCAAGCTATGATTACATACAAGAACATAAAACTTGACCATGTTTTTTGTGGAACCGTGCCAAGAGCCTCAAACCTTCCAAGTTTAAGCATACCTCTGAGGTTTTTGTGGTAATCCAAACATATATGCTATATCATCATATGTCAACGCATACTGGATTCTTGAACAAATTTGAATGCACTGCATCCTTCCAGCTTTCGGCTGAGGTCCAAACTCCTTCAGCTGAGCAAGCACAGGTTCAGGCTGCTGGAAGAGAAAAATATATTTTTTCAAAAAAATGATGCCAATATCATGTTCGAAAATATATCGAACCTGTTTCAGCCATGGAAACTTGTCATACCTTAACTACATACAAGATGACTACAGTGTGGAAGCTCCTGGATTCCAGGATAAAAACATAAAATTAAATGAGTCAAGTATGATAATTTTCCATGACTGAAACAGGTTCATAAAGCTCGTGGATTTCAGGACCAACACTTGAAAATTAAATGAGTTATGTCAATCTTTATATCATCAAAGTTTGGACATCAAAAGGTATGATGAAGTATGATGGGGGGAAAGTGAGGGTAGGAAGACAGAAGGGCCTATTTGTGCACAAGGTATCTGACAGTTTGCAACCTGAAAAAAAAAGGAGTTCCAGAATCCAGCACACTTGATCTTGAAATGGAATGGACTTGGAATAGATTCAGTTTTTAAAAAATATATATATTTCAAATGTCTTTTTCCTAGCTTAGCCACACCCCGGACAGCTGAGGATCAGACTCCTGCAGAATGGGCAAGCACAGGGGCAAGCTATGATTACATACAAGAACATAAAACTTGACCATGTTTTTTGTGGAACCGTGCCAAGAGCCTCAAACCTTCCAAGTTTAAGCATACCTCTGAGGTTTTTGTGGTAATCCAAACATATATACTATATCATCATATGTCAACGCATACTGGATTCTTGAACAAATTTGAATGCACTGCATCCTTCCAGCTTTCGGCTGAGGTCCAAACTCCTTCAGCTGAGCAAGCACAGGTTCAGGCTGCTGGAAGAGAAAAATATATATTTTCAAAAAAATGATGCCAATATCATGTTTGAAAATATATCGAACCTGTTTCAGCCATGGAAACTTGCCATAGCTTAACTACATACAAGATGACTACAGTGTGGAAGCTCCTGGATTCCAGGATAAAAACATAAAATTAAATGAGTCAAGTATGATAATTTTCCATGACTGAAACAGGTTCATAAAGCTCGTGGATTTCAGGACCAACACTTGAAAATTAAATGAGTCATGTCAATCTTTATATCATCAAAGTTTGGACATCAAAAGGTATGATGAAGTATGATGGGGGAAAGTGAGGGTAGGAAGACAGAAGGGCCTATTTGTGGCAGGTGGAGGTGGGCATCACAAGGTATCTGACAGTTTGCAACCTGAAAAAAAAAGGAGTTCCAGAATCCAGCACACTTGATCTTGAAATGGAATGGACTTGGAATGGATTCATTTTTTTTTAAATAAATAATTCAAATGTCTTTTTCCTAGCTTAGCCACCCCTGGACAGCTGAGGATCAGACTCCTGTGGGATGGGCAAGCACAGGGGCAAGCTATGATTACATACCAGAACTCAAAGATGTTGAGACAAAACTTGACCTTAACCTTGCTTTTTGGGGAATCGTGCCAACTGCCTCAAACCTTCCAAATTTAATTATACTTTTTTTGGTAATCCAAACATTTATACTATATCATCAAATGTTCACACATACTGGATTCCAGGACAAATACTCTAATCAAATGGACCAGGGCAATTTTTATCACAATCGATTCTTAAAACTTGAATGCACTGCATCCTTCCAGCTGACAGCTGAGGTCCAAACTCCTTCAGCTGAGCAAGCACACGGGTGCAAAATTCATATTTGAAAATATTTCGATCCTGTTTCAGCCATGGAAAATAGTCATACCTTAACTACATACAATATGACTACAGTGTGGAAACTCCTGGATTCCAGGATAAAAACATAAAATTAAATGAGTCAAGTATGACAATTTTCCATGACTGAAACAGGTTTGAGAAGCTCCTGGATTCTTGCATTACCATTCTGTTTGTTTTTGGTGTTTTTTTGGGGATGCCCTGCCCCCCTCCCCTCCCCCCCTGGTGCCTGAGTAGACACGTTGCATTGACCCACTACCACAATCATAGTTTTTTCTTTGAATTTTACGATTGAATTTGGCAAAACATGCATCCATAAACGGTATGTGTGTTAATAATGATTTGTAGATACAAAATAATACTGGCTTTGATGTTCCTTCAAAAACATACAAAATACCAGGCCCAGTATGATGATATGATGAAGTATGGTAGGGAAAGTAAGCGCAGGAGGGGATGATTTGTGGCAGGTAGAGTTGGACATCACAAGGCAGGATGAAGTATGGTGGGAATGTAGTATACACAAGTATGATGTATATGGGACAAGGTTTTTTAAAATATAAACCAATGTGAAAACACCAACAAGATTTGAAAACACCATTTGGCATGATAATGGCTTAAGTCCGGCCAGCTCCGCAGGGAACAGGTACCCCAACAAGCCCAACACGCGCCACTCTCGCACGCAAAAGCCACCACAAGGCCACAGCAATGGCTCAAGAGCACCCCACGGCCGCAGCAATGGCTTCTTTTATACGCGTTCAAGGCTGCCGTTTGCCAGGCCTCAAACTCTCCATACCCTCCAAAACCCTCCAAACCCTCCAAAAGTCCGGCCAGCTCCGCAGGGAAAAGGTACCCCAACAAGCCCAACACGCGCCACTCCCGCACGCAAAAGCCACCACAAGGCCACAGCAATGGCTCAAGGCACCCCACGGCCGCAGCAATGGCTTCTTATAGAATGGGCTAGCGCCCAGGTGCCGCCGACCCCCCTAATTGGAGGGGGGGTACTGTAGAGAGAGAGAGGGAGACGGACAGCAAGACAGACATATGGCCGTTTGCTTCTCAAGCCTGTGGCCTTGTCGTCGCTTTTGCGTGCGGGCGTGGCGCCTGTTGGGGTACCTTTTGCATCGGAGTTGGGCGGACTTTTGGAGGAGTTGGAAGGTTTGGAGGGTTTAACGCCTATAAGAAGCCATTGCTGCGGCCGGGGGGTGCCCTTCAGCCATTGCTGTGGCCTTGTGGTGGCTTTTGCGTGCGGGAGTGGCGCGTGTTGGGCTTGTTGGGGTACCTTTTCCCTGCGGAGCTGGGCGGACTTTTGGAGGGTTTGGAGGGTTTGGAGGGTTTGAGGCCTGGCAAACGGCAGCCTTGAACGCCTATAAGAAGCCATTGCTGCGGCCGGGGGGTGCCCTTGAGCCATTGCTGTGGCCTTGTGGTGGCTTTTGCCTGCGGGAGTGGCGCGTGTTGGGCTTGTTGGGGTACCTTTTCCCTGCGCAATGGCTTCTCCAAACCCTCCAAACCTTCCAAACCCTCCAAAAGTCCGCCCAGCTCCGCAGGGAAAAGGTACCCCAACACCCAACAGGCTTGAGAAGCAAACGGCCATATGTCTGTCTTGCTGTCCGTCTCCCTCTCTCTCTACAGTACCCCCCCTCCAATTAGGGGGGTCGGCGGCACCTGGGCGCTAGCCCATTCTATAATCCCTATAGGCCCTATAGCTGTGAAAAAAAATGGTTTTATCCCTCATAAACTACACGGATTATAAACCCATTAGACTGTAAACCTCAACAATCCCCATTATTGTTTAATTATTTGTGTATATGTGGGTTTTATATATAATTAATATTTAGTACTGTATATATATATATGTATATCTATATATAGAACAGAACCCCTAAAAACAAACACCTCCCCCATGACTGGTCGACGACCCCGTATGTTCCACCTGTCCATCACCACCGTCAGCGCGTGGAGGATATCGCCTTCCATGACACCACCGTTGGCAGCCGCGCCACCGGGCGCGGCGGCTTCCACCATGAAGGCTCCTATAGCGGGGCCGAGAAAAGGACCCAAGGTTTACCCTGGGGTAAACATTAGTGACGATACAACAAAATGCGGAAACCCTGGTTTTCCTATGACAATGGTCTAGAAATGGTTGCTTTTCCACCTCGAACTGTTTATTTACAGGGAGGATCAGGAAGGGTTATAAGGGTCAAACTTGGTGAAATACACGTGGAGGGTGAGATGTTCGCTCTAAGTAGCATTTGAAAGTGCATGATTTACTGTGATGAAACATGATATCAAACCAAACACATAGGATAATTACATATAATTACTGGATATTTCTGGAAACTAGTTTATCAAACTGACAATTACGGATGACGTAAATCGCATTTACACAAAATGAATCAAGTGGTGAATCTGTATGGCTATTAAATTTGACTCATAACCTCCGTACCGGAACTTCAAATAATTTGAACGCAGAAGACATAAACCCTGAACATAGCCCTATTCAACATTGAGTGTTGCGGTGTAGAGCAGTTTCAGGTACAACTCATGGCCAACCAGCTGAACGTTTGATGTCACTTTACAAGAATGGTAACTTCCAGTCTTCCAGGATCCAAACAAAATACACAAGTGATCGAACATGCATATGTCACATCCACTCAGACAAAGGTTGAATCATCGAAGGAAGTTTAGAAGTGAAACTTCCGACAATATGGACAGTTGAAAAGCAGAGGTGAAAAGAGTCAGAAGAGAAAAGATCAGAAGAAAGAAGATGCAGGTGCGCGAAAAGATAGGAAAGTCGCGATTCACTGTGTTTTTCCAATGATTTGTGGCTCCGGAGGGTCGAAAAGTAGGCTCGCTAAAGCGGCGGGTGCGGAGCCAGCTGGCCAGGTGAGACATGAAAAAGTGCACGCCGTTGTGGCGCGAAGCATATTTCGAAGTGAAAATGTACAAAGCACCACATGCTCGCGCCACTTTTGGAAGTTCCGATGTGGAAAAAGTGCATGCCGTTGTGGCGCGAAGCACATGTCGAAGTCAAAATGTTAAAAATACCACATGTTCGCGCCACTTTTGGAGGTTCAGATGTCGAAAAAGTGCACGCCGTTGTGGGGCGAAGTACATTTCGAAGTCAAAATGTACAAAACACTACATGTTCGCGCCACTTTTGGAGGTTCAGATGTCGAAAAAGTGCACGCCGTTGTGGCGCGAAGCACATTTCCAAGTCAAAATGTTAAAAACACCAGGGTCTCGGACCACTTTTGGAGGTTCAGATGTCGCTTCGCTTCGCTTCGCTTCATTACACTACACTACATTACACTACATTAAGATGTCGAAAAAGTAGACACTGATTAAGTTAACTAACTTGACTAACTTGACTAACTTAACTAACTTCACTAACTTAACTACCCTAACTTCGACGACAACAGCAACAGCAACAGCAACAACAGCAACAACAACAACAACAACAACAACAACACCAACCACAACAACTACAACTACAACAACTACAACTACAACTACAACTACACAACAACTACAACTACAACTACTACTACAACTAGAACTACAACAACAACAATAGCAACAACAACAACAGCAACAACAACTACAACTACAACTACACAACAACTACAACTAGAACTACAACTACAACAACTACAGCTACAACAACAACAACAACAACAACAACAACAACAACAACAACAACAACAACAACAACAACAACAACAACAACAACAACAACGCCAAAAACAGCAACAACAACAACAACTACAACTACAACTACAACTACAACAACTACAACTACAGCAACAACTACAACAACTACTACAACAACTACAACAACAACAACAACAACAACAACAACTACTACTACTACTACAACCACACTACACAACAACTACAACCACACAACAACTACAACAACTACAGCTACAACTACAACTACAACAACTACAACTACAAAACAACTACAACAACAGCAACAACAACAACAACAACTACAACTACAACAACTACAACAACAACTACTACTACTACTACAACTACACTACACAACAACTACAACCACACAACAACTACAACTACAACTACAACAACAACAACTACTACAACAACAGCAACAACAACTACAACTACAACTACAAAACAACTACAGCTACAACTATATGACCGCAACTACACTACACTAATTACATTACACCACAACTACAACTCCACTACGCTACAAATACAACTACAGTTGCAGTACATCACACTACATCCAGCAGTTGTGGGTGAGGTGACCACTGCAACCATTGCAACCACTCCAGCAAACACAACTCCAACCACCTTTCGGTCAATCAGTGGATTCGCCTGCCATCCGTGATTCACAACAACCAACGTCTCCTATAGGTTTCCTATTCTGAAACTTCCGCCACCGCCTTGTGCGGTACTACTGGTATGTTTTTACTGAGTGCAACCAACATTATTTTTTACTATGTGTATCGATGTGTTGTCTTCACGTTTACGCGTCTTCCGATCTCTTTTAATTTCAGAATACGATGTTGGCTGAAATACCACCACACTGGCAGTTTGCACACAAATCTGCGGGGATCTAAACACCTAATCTCGCCAGCAACAAAAAACATCGACAACCAAGACACCTTTCAAACGTCCCTCATCCTTCTTGGTCAATTGCAGTCCTGGCAAAGGGTTTGGAAGTCTTGAGCCATTCCTGCCTTGCCTGATATTGGACCAACTTCGGGCCAACAATTGGGGAAACTGGGGAAACGAGTCAAACGTTCCAAAAAACGTGTTGAAAACAGAAGCCTCACCAGCCCACTGAACCCCATATACCCCATCCTGATTATCCTGCTTCTCCTCCTTTATGATCCTCCCTGCAGGATGGATTGGGTCCCTTGAACCCCAATGAATTGAGCTATCATCCAGCCATGTCAGATTCTCCAAGTCTATCCTCCCCAAATCTCCAGAGCAAACAATGCTCCTGGCATCCCATCTTCAAACCAACCCATCTCTATCTCCATCCCCATACATATGGGAGTTTCTCAAGCCATGGGAGGATGCCCCCAAAAAATCACTATGGTTGTTTCAATATTAAGTCATGGTCATCCATGACTTGGATGAGTTTTTTGGATACCCCCATGACTAGGGGAAACCTCCATACATCCCCCCATCCCCGTCCCCGTCCTAAGGGTAAGCGCCCCCGCAGCAGGTAAAAGGCCGCATTCTTCGGAGACCGGAAACCAACCACCTCCACCCTCTCACTGCTGTCACTGTCGGGCAAGGTGACTTCAAAGGCGACAGGCTCCACCGAGAGGGGCTGGCAGGGGCTGTTGGGATGGGTCAGACCGCATGGAATCCCCAGGATCTATGATGATGCATGGATGTTCATCAAACCAAAATATCGTTAGATGTGGTTCGGTATGGTTTGATGTGGTTTGATGTTGTTGGATGCTTGGTGATTTTTGACTGATGACGGTTGATATAATGGGATAATAATAAAAGGGAAAACGATCATATGATGATGATGATGATGATGATGTCGTTGATGATGCTGATGATGATGGTGATGATGGTGAATATGCTGATGGTGATGGTGATGGTGATGGTGAATAGGCTGATGGTGATCGTGAATATGCTGATGGTGATAGTGGTGATGGTGTTGATGATGATGATGATGAGGAGGATGAAAATGATGAGAATGACAATGAGGACAATAATGACGATGACGATGACGATGGCGATGACGATAGTGACAACGATGACAATGATGATGATGGTGATGATGATAATGACGATGATGATGATGATGATGAAAAATGATGAAATATGATTTTTTATGAGGATAATCATGATAATGATGATGATATTGATGACGATAATGAAGAAACTGTTTGTAATGAGGATGATAATGATGATGAAGAAGAATGATGATGATGATGATGATGATGGTGATGATGATGGTGATGATGATGATGATGCTGCTGATGATGCTGCTGATGATGATGGATGATGATGATGATGATGATCATGATCATGATCATGATAATGATTATGAACCATTATGATGATGGTGATAACTATGATGAAATAAGGATGACAATGATGATGATGGTGATGATGGTGAATATGCTGATGGTGATGGTGAAAATGCTGATGATGATGGTGGACTTGCTGATGGTGATGGTGATGGTGGTGTTGATGATGATGAGGATGATAATGATGATTATGATGATGATGGTGATGATGATGATGGTGGTGGTGGTGATGATTAATTAAGTTGTTGCTGCTGCTGATGATGATGATTAAGTTGTTGCTGCTGCTGCTGGTGATGATGATGAAGATGATGATGAAGATGATGATGATGATGATGATGAACACCTAACGAACCACAGGGTTTCGATGATGTTGTTTGAGCAAAAACGAAACATGCAATTGGCAAGATGAACCAAACCAAACATATCCAAAGTCTGGTTTGAGATGATGTAAGCGAGAGAATCTAAATATTTTGGCTGGGGAAATCTGGGGCATGGGGTCTAACTTCGACACCTGAAGAACGGGATGATTTGATACCAACAAACACACATGACTAACATCTGTGGTTCCCAGAACCCAATCAATGCTGGAATGACCCGGAAAATCTGCGGGGCATTAGCGCCTGTGCATCCTCCTCGGCCGTCTTGGCCTGTTGACGCAAGGCAACTTCCAGCTCCTTGTTGCAGTCTGAGAGCTTCCTTGGACAGACTGGATCGGAATATTTTTTCGTGGGGATTTTACTCATGCTGCAATGCTATTATTATAACGGGATAATATGATATACTAGTGGGAGATATTCAACGGACTTTATATGATATGTGGAGGTGTCTACCAACTTGGCGATGAACCCTGAATCTCGCCTAATATGGTACCTATTACATATATGTAACTATGATGAATGATGACCAAACATAAAATAGATTGGCCATGGATTTCCCCCTTGGTATCTATTTGCCCTTTATCTGGGATTGCTGTGTCTGAAAAGTTCGACGGTTGTTAACTCGAACTCACCCCGTCCAACAGGCACCACTGTGTCAAGTCATTGGGAATCCTCATGGATGAAGGGAAACCCAAAAAAAATGGCTCTCTTGGTCAAATTCGACAAAAATAAATCTGAAAAAAAACAAACATCTACTGTGGAGATGTTCTATTTTTTTTGAAACCATACAAGAACAAGGATTGCTGCCCAAACAAATGCACATCCTCTGTTGTACTGGGTTGTTGTTTTTGTTACTCTGCTGTCACGCGGGCATGACATAGGCGAAAACCAGTAGGTTCGATCAAGAAAGATTCAGAACCCCAGAAAAAATGATGGAATTTGGCTGTTATTTTATGTGAATTTCCCTTGCCTGCCATGCTCACCATCGTCAACAAGCATCTCATAGCTTGCCTTCCAATCCACTTCACACACTTCTGGCAGTTCCATGTCCTCCTTCAGCTGTTCCCGCAGCAACCGGTTCCTCTGCAGCTCCATGTCATAGGCCTCGCGCCAGGCCTCATCCGCAGCCCTCAGACCTGTCCTGAACGGTCGCGATGCTTGCGGCCCAGTGAAGCACAAACTCCCCAGGAGAAGAACCGTGGCCAGTGGCAACGGCAATCGGCTGCGCTTGCTGAGTCGCGACATGGGGCGAAGATGGGTTTTTCGAAGGACCCAGTGGGCTGTTGATAGCCCCATCTTTGCAGGTGAGATTCGGAGTGTTGCTGCCTCAATACATGTTTTTGTTGCTTCACAGCATGGAAGGATTTTGGATTTCATGAGATGGGACTTGGCAAAGTGTGAAAAAACTGGATGTTGCTTGCCCAGAATCTGGATCCCCAATGCTCAAGCCAAGCTTCAGAAAAACATTGCCAGGGTGAGACGTCAGAGAAAAATGACATTCGATTGGCGCCCTTGATTCGTTCATCTGTGATTTCATTTCGTGGCATATTTTTTCTATGCTGTCTGTACTGGTTCAACAAATAGGCTGCGAAATATTGCAAGATCTGAACTTGCTTTGCCAGATAAACACAAAACCAAAGGCAAACATTGAGACCTCCAATCGGTCCAATCTAGCAGCACCATGCCGCTAAGAGGGTGAACCACCCCAACCATGTTCCAATCGAAATACAGTATCATTCAAGACAGCATACAAAACTTCGGGTGGGATATCCCAAAAAGAACTTCAGAAGTATGGCGCACACCGTATTCCTATTGCCGAAAAAACACCACTCCAACTATCGCATCCGCTCCGACTCTTCGATCTTCCAGTCGTCCAGCTCCAAAAGCCTGGAGACAGGCCACCATTTCCTTTAAGATGTGATGTTCAGCACTTTATCACCCGTCAAATATGGTGATAAATCATGATTAACCACCAAGCAATGTTGATGTCATCCGTGAACTTTGTTGAACACTGATGTCATCCACCATGTCATCCAACATGTTATCCAACATGTTATAACATATTACATCAAGAACCAGAAATGAGGTTTGCACCAACATACACATTCTTGCTACTGAACATCACCATGATTTATCATAGCACTAACTGGGCCCTATATACCATAGCTATGTGAAAAAATACCGGAGGGCAATCAATATCCTAATGTTTGTTGGCTAACCCCCTATATCAATCACCATAAAATCCCTATGAATTCCCACTAAATCCCCATGAAATCCCATTAAATCACCATAAAGTCCCATAAAATCCAAGTAATTCCTATCAAATCCCTCTATGAATTCCCATGAAATCAGGCCTGGACTCGAAAGCAGCCAGCACATAGGGATCCCGGGGTCCCAGCATGGCCCATGCCTGGAGAAAAAGTCTGCAGGATGGTGGTGACCGATGATGTCTTCCCCGTCATTTCCAGGTTTTTATATGTTTATACAAATATGTGTTGTCAATTATATACATATTTTGGCATCGTTTTGGGGTGTGCTGTAGAGACGTAATTGGACATTTTATGGGCTATGAAACTTATGATATGTGGTGTGTTTGAACTTAGGGTGTATATAATGGGATTTAAATAACAAAATTGGGGATGACATGGGGAAATATGGAAATACATCACCAACTTGATACGATGGTTGGTGTGTCGATATACCAATGAAGAGCCCCAAAATGGCCATTTACATCGGAACTGGAGGTGTCCCCTCTGAGACAAACCATGACACATCCCAAAAAAACAAACAGTTTGTACTGTGCTTCAGTTTGAGCTCTTCAAGTCTGGTCAAACCGTATTAACAATTCGAAGGGAAACCCTGAAAAGCAACAACACAGTGATATCTGAACCAATAAAATACGTAAAACAAATCCGTTATCAATCATCAAAGCTGGAATGATTTGGATGATTAATCTCCTCAAGACAAATGGTTGGTCCAACTACAATAAGCATTAACCAGTGATTTCAGCCGTTGGGTTAGTTACACACGAATCGACGGCACCCACAATTCAGATCTAGTCGCCTGGTGGTGATTAGCCGCATTATATCGATATTACTATTATATTTCAACAAACACAAAAAGGATATTTAAGACCCTGAGATACTCTATATATAAATATATATATATATTATATAATTAATGTGATTATATATGTGCTCAGTCCATGTATGATTGTATAAGTTCATATTATATATATATAATATGAACTTATACGGGGGGTCTAAAAATGGGGGATCCCCAAGTCACCATGGTTGTTTCAATACTAGGCCACTAGGTCATGGTCTGGTCTTGAAAGCTCTCAGCTCCCGACAACTGTGAGTCTCAACACGTCTTTGGCCTCGAGGAAACCACAGGGGAGAAAACCCATGGCTTTTCCTATAGGAGAATGATCTACAAATGGTGGGTTTTCCACATCTCTATAATATATATATATATATATATATTTATGTATATATATGTATATATATATGTATATATATATGTATATATATATATGTATCTATATATATATATATATATGTATCTATATATATATATGTATATATATATATGTATATATATATATGTATATATATATGTATATATATATATATATGTATATATATATGGGGATGGGTCAAACCCTATCCCCCTGGTGAACATCAAAATAGCTGGTAAATGGATGTTCATCCCACTCAAAATGTATCTATAGGTATTGACCCATACCCATATATATATATATATATATATATATGCTTGCAAGAGGGTAATCCCCAATCACTTCCCCATCGGGGGATTTTTTTTGTTTTCGGATCCACAAAAAATCATTTTTTTTGGTTAATCCCTTCCCTCGTTCATATGAAGCACTTGCCAGAAATTATGGTTTAGAAAGGGATGAAAACACATATTTGCGGCCATAGAATGTGGGTGTATGGTGAATCTGCAATATTTATATATATTTATCCACATTTTGCTAGTTACTCCGCCCGGTGTCTAATTAACAAAACTGAAGATCAGAGTCTTTATGGTGTTGAAGAATTCAACTTTTGATGCTTCGACTCACCATGTTGTTTATGTGAATGCACCATATATTTAAGCATATGAAAGTCTCAAAATCAGCGCGTCAGAGCGATCGAAATGAATTCTTGGTGAACTGGGCTGTTTTTTTTCATCCGGATGGGAGTTTCATCATTTTGTAGTTGAACAATGTTACAAGTGGTGAATGATCTCCAAGATCTCAAGCTCATCCGCATCTGCCAAAGCATTCAACAACTGACAAACTTATGGCTCCGAATCACTTAAACAAGACAACACATCTTTTCAGCTTCCATCTTAGGATCAACATTGTCAGGAGGATATGGATTCAACAGCAATATATCCATGTCAATATTCTCATGGTATACTCTGAGTCATGTGAATTCAACAAGTTTCATGGACCCAATAGCTTTGGCCATATCCAGACCATCTTTTTAAGCTTCCATCTTAGATTCAGGGGATGTATATTCTCCATCAAGGGATCGTTGGAAATCGAGCGATCTGGGGGTCTCCGTCAAAGGGGGTGACGTATGTATACATATATGTGCATATATATATATATATATATATCCTTGTGGCTATATGTACGAATACACATGTATGATGTATAATATATAATTATATAATATATATATATATATATATATATATACTATTGATCAGAACATAATAATATATAATCATTAATTATGTATATCATATACATGAATCTATATAGATAATATTATATAGATTGATTGTAGAAGTTGTTGTTCAGATCACTAGTTTGTCCCATGCTCCTTCTGTTCTTCCTTGCAACTACTGCCGTATTCAACAAATCAAACACCCATCCCCATGAGCCTGAAGTTTGGCTAACGAGTTCCTCAGCACCCGGAGGGCATTGCCAACACGATCCCATGGGTTGGATTCATCGGCATACCGGGTTTTGACATTAAGAATGACAGCACCCCAGTCGACAGCATTAAACAACATGTTCTCGATGTGAATAGCAAAAACTTGCTTTCTCTGAAAATTGTGTATATATATATATATTAAGATGTATATATATTTATATATATATATCCAACAAACATACAATCATTGCTTTATGATTTATCATCATATATTCAAGGTATGTTTTGTACCAAAAATACATGCAATAAACATGGGAACGCTGAGGCTCTGGCACCACATGAGGCATCGCCATTTGGAAGACCGTGCGACCTGCGAGCGAGAAAGATATGCGCATATCATTGAGATATAATGGGAATGTCATGGGGATATAGTTGGGATATATATATATGTATATATCTATGTGAAATAATGTATATGTATATATATATATATATATAATGTTATACATAATAAATTGCATGGCGATGAATATCATCCGTTCATAACCATTAATATAATGATACTGTGGATCCATGTGGCGGTCCCCAAGGACTTGAGTCACTAATGGGATGATTCCCCGAATCCGAACCACGATTCCAGGGCTCAGGCACTATAATTCACCCAGAATCATGGCGTTATAATAGCTCCGGTTCCCATATGCTCCATGTATGGTATATTTACCTACATTTGGGTGATTTTTAGGGCAAATGTTGGCAAATATACCATACATGGAGCATATGGGGTTGGTAATTAATACTGTAATATCTTCCATTTTGTGAATAGTAAACTTATAACCAATCTATGATTTTTCTGTTGGTAAAATGAATTCAACAGTAGTGAAAATACAAAATTATATTCACTGAGAAGTTCGACACTATTCCGAGACCCCGGATTTTTTCATGTTCAACTTCCAGGTTCACCCACTACAGAATTTGAAAATGCCCAGCTCTGTCCGAAAGCTGCATCCAAGGGGCCCCTTTCATCGATGTATGCGCGGGCTCTGGAAACTAAAGCTCTTGCGAAAACCTGGCAGCGACCGGCCACAATTCCACATCTCTATCCATTTGTGGGCAAACCCAACTTTCCCTTGTGAGGTTTCCATCCATATTAGAAAGACATTTTTTTTTCATTTTTTTTTTTTGTTTTTAGTTTTTTTTCTCTGTTATACTTGCGTTTCTGCTGTCAATGTTTCTCCAAATTCAAGCTGATGACCGCTATGAGCTCAATAGTCCAGGATCAGCAATTTCCTTCCTAAACGCTCATTCCTTAACTTCTCCATTTGTGGCAATTAGTTCCCCACCTGCCAGGTGAGGGTTGTTAGATTTTATTACAGTTGTGCTCCTCCTC